CCACAAAACTACTAAAGGATTTAAAGCCACAAATATCCGCTATGTCATCAGGGAGAGTTGGTATGGCTCCATTAATTTCACAACAAGATATCCTTATCCCAGGGAAATGTGGATTGTTCCAGTATTTATTGAATATTGAGCAGTGTCTCCTTTGCCCGTGATCATGATTTTGGTCCTTGTTATATACAATGTTAACATAGAATATCCACAGCTGGTCTTGTAGTTCCGGCCTTAACAAACTCTTTGTATGGAATCAGTGGGGCATAGTCACTGTGCTTTGGAGGGTGACCTGTAAAATTATCAAGCTTGAACAACAGACCTAAATCAAAGTCAACTGTTTTGTCACCATCGGCGACGTAGTGGAAATTTCTGACTCTTTGATCGGAAGGAAAACCAGATAAAAATGTATGATATAAAAAAGGGACTGGTACCTCTGCTTTCCATAGACGAGCAAATCTAAGCAATGAAAGGAAATTACTGACGCCCTGTGTCATTTGCTCCCAGTAAGAGAACGCTAGTACAAATCTTTTAGGGAGTGGAGGAGGTCGTACAGGCACTACTTCATAAAACTGCGACGTGACATGGCGGCCAGAGTTTGGTCGGAGATTCCATTCAATTTTGTGACCGCTGAAATATAAGGAAACGAAAATAACAGTGAGAAGTAGTGGTAAAATAAGCATCCACTTTCTTACTGCCGCCATTATTGCCAGTCTTCTATGGTATGGTATGGCTAATTGGCTATGGTACAATTATCTATGGTATAGTACGTCACTATCATTTCATTGATCATTTAATATTTTCAGGTTGCTTGACCCATGGCCCAATTTTCTTACTTCCTGCTCACGTGATATCATACTGATATGTAATACATGTACCGGTAATTTAGTCGAATGCAGAGCATTAATGGGGCGAGCTTGAGTCATTCGTGTATTGCGCTGACTCTGCTGCTAGCTAGGCTGCTTTTCTAGTTAATAAGTCTTGAATCTAGGGCGCCATCATAACCCTCTGAGCTGAGCAACAAGAAGAGCATCCTTTTCATTCCAGCAGGCTAAGTCGTTGAGGTTGATCTCGAGCGCTCTTCTTGCTTCTGTTCATGTGGTTAACTACCGCATTAGATCATTGACAGAAAGCGTACTCTAATGTGCACACATGGGGTGTGATGAAAGGGCCTGGGATCGGAAACGGGGCGCAACAGGGAATGCTGGTTGGGTTGCCACGTGACAACCATCATTCCTCCATCATGAAGCTGTGCTGCAAGGATTTCAAAGGAAACTTGTGTCACTCCAGGGTAGCGCTTGCTTATGATCTATAGCCTATTGCACATAGAATGTTTAGAGCTACCCACAGCAAGGTTTTTATCTCTGTAAAGCTATGTTGCAATCAGTTATAGGTACAACAAAATCAACTATTTTTGGTACACTTTATAATAGCTCTTTTAACAAACTCATACTTCATTGATTCCAACTCTAACCTGTATAATTACTTTGAAAAGTGTAAGGTCTTTCATATGATTATAATGGTTTCCAGTTTTACTTTAGCATGTTTTGAGAAAAGGGAGAATTATGAAATAAATGGCATTTTAAGAGGAAAAATGTGCTGTATCATTATTAAAAGCTATAGCATTTTCTGTACAATAGATAACAGTAGTGTTGAGAGGAAACATCAGGCTTCTTGATACATCAGTTTCACTTAAAAGAGAACAGTCCTTTGCTAGATATAGCTCCTGAAAGAACTTAGGAAAAGTAGCATGAAAATAGTGCCGACAAAATCCCAACCCGCCTCTGTTTGCTTCAGTAGTAACAATCCCTTTCATTTACTCTAATATCTATGTACATACATGCATACATACAGAGTGAGGGAGACTTCGCCTGAGTGGGGCTCGCTCATGCTCGCCCCAATTATCTACTCTTGATATTAATGTGTAAATTTCTGTCTACAGACAGTCATTTGGGTGTATGTTGATCCGCCGCTTCACCCAGATGGTAACTAGTTAGTTGGTGAAAAACGCAAGACAGGCTAGCATGGCATAAGGAGTTGGAAGAGTCTAAAACGGACTGTTTCCAACAAGTTATCATCTTTATAAAACTTATTTCTGATAGATTTTTAGTTTAATTTATTATGTACAGCATGCAGTAGACATCTCGTTTCAAAAATAGATCTACAAACTGAAAGCCAATTCTCGAGGAATTTTGAGCTAGAGCAGATAATTGCATGTCTGAATGTGTATCTATGAGCTTTTTTCATACACATAATACCACATGGATTAAGTTAATAAGCAGCTATAGGAGAGTGAGGTAAGGTTAGCAGGACAACAAAATGTCCAGCTCAACAAGGTTACCTTTGTGTAATGCTAGTGGCTTCTTGTTTTTACGCTAGATCCAAAGTGTATAGCTGAAATCCCCAACCATTCTGTCTCTCTTATACTCTTAGTGTTCTTTATGTTGTCTTTTATTTGAAATCTGGTACAACAACAACATTCAAAGGAAAGGAGAAAAAGATACTCATATTACTGCTGATATACCATGGCTGGAACTTAAAGGGAAAGACTTTGTGCTTGTAAGTGTACTTTTAACTGCCTGTCAATGTAATGCTACATAAAATCTGTAGTGAGCTGACTCATCATTACATCAGAACTCATGAATTATTCATTGATATATTGTCTATATAAATGCATGTTGTGTAATAATAGTTTTCAGTGTTTGGGTGTCAACTAAACGAGACTTAACATGAGCGCTAACACACTCACGCTACCAGGCTTGCATTTTAGCTTCACATATTTCTATAAATCCCAGGCTGGACTATAATTAATGCGTATACATACCCAAACTTCTACCATGCATGCAAAAGGCTCGAATACTTAGTGTAAATAAGATTTGTGAGTGCCTTATAAATTGGTGGTCATTTGTGGAGGTATATGTAGACTATTAGATTCTAAAGCCAATAAGGAAATTAATTTTATCCTTATCCTATTTTTCCCAAAAAGTGAGGATAATTTTTCATGCTAAACAAACAAACAAAACTTTTCCTAGTATCTTTCCTTAGCTTTGGTGATTAAAGACTGGATATTGACTGCATTCCCTGCTAGCTCCCATACTTTTTTGCCTATAGGTGGGTGTTTTCACACTTAAAGTATAGCCTCTAATTCTGTTCAGATATTTAAAATTCAACTTCCTTTTCTTGATTCTTTAATAATACTGCAACTTACCTATGTGATGGACCTTCCCATGGGATTCAGTCTTTTTTATACATGTACATGTACTGTTTGTATTACCAATCCACTCTTAGTATTACTGTTCATTATCATTTATTTTACACTACCATAGGCTTTATCATCTCCTCGTACCCTAAAAGAGTCATATGCCGTATCACATGATGTCTGGAAAAATCCTGCTAATTCCATAGCCAAGTATATCTACATTGCACGTAATCCTAAAGATGTGGCCATGTCTTATTACTATCATACAAAATGCATTTTGATTTTACTGGTGATTGGAATTGTGTCTTTGAGTTTTTTTATAAAAGGAGAAGTTCCATTTGGGCTATGGTTTGATCATGTTCTTGAATGGTGGAAATATAAAGGTTTGAAATTTATAATCATGGCATTTCAATCTGATTATTATAGACAAATGCCAAGAACATTTTGTTCTTAATGTATGAAGATTTAAAGAAAGATCTGTCTGGATCAGTGAAAACTATTGCACAATTCATGGGATATAGTCTTGATGATGCAATGAATGAGAAGGTTACTAGACAGTGTACATTCGATAGCATGACAGTCTACCTGAGACACTCAGACACCAGAGAAGTTACTGTCTTCAATTTTACATCTTTTATTGGCAATTGGAAAAATCATTTGAGTGATGAGCACTCAGCAAGGTTTGATACACTAAAAGAATGTCAGGAAGTGGCTTAATTTTTGACTTTGAATGAAACATTTTTATTTCTAATTGAATTAACATTTGACTTTTATATTTTTGATGCTGCTATAGCTCTTGATAGATCCTATTACCAATGCTTTTGACCCACTTATTTTTGTTGCCCAGGATCTCTTTTAGGTTGTAACTTTTCAAGCCAGACGATTATGTAAAATATAATTATAGTTAGCAAAATTATAATAATAAGTGGGAAGACATATTCCTGTTTAAATATGCTCATAGCAACTTAAGTAAGACTTTGCATGATTTAATAAGATTGCACAATGTACATTAGAAAATGTGAA